ACTTTAAATTCAGAATTATTTTAGTTTATTTATCATATAATAATATTCAACTATGACTGTCAGTACAAAACACTGTAATACAATAGCTCCAACAAGCCTATACATTGAATATTCAACCCATCATTCTAGAAGACTTCAATGTTTCTAATAGTACCATCTATTTCTTATCAATTAAATATAAGTTGCTTTATTTTTTTTAATACAACAATATATATGACCTGTTTATATACATTTATAACTCAACATTTACTTAGCAAAGCAACAGATATCAAAGTAGCATAGACTACATTTAGGCTAATCAATCTCTTTTTTGATATCTTAATTCTTTTACTATAGATGTTCTGATACTAATACTCAAAATAATCATAAAATTCTGAACTCTAGTTGGCTCTTTCCTTATATAGATATAGACAAATTCAGACATTTTACCAAACTTATAGAAGGATATTTTTATACAAAAACATGAATAAAGACAAATAACAACAATTTGCAGATGGGGTGTGGTGACCTAGTGAAGTGGTCAAATTGTCAACCTCCCAAGTGGTAGGTTGGGTGTTCAAATCCCATCGACGGTGAAAATTTAGATAATCACCTATGTAATATTCGTATTACAACAACTGTTACTAACGGTTAGGTTAGGATACCTGTAATGGCAGTCGCACCAGCATGACTGGCAGGTCATAGGGCATCTGTGCAATGTTGAAGTTACACAGAGGAATGAAATCTGACAAATTGGGTGGTACAAACACTAGATAAGTCCTTGTAGCTATATAAATCTATTGAAATTGGGTAACAAGAAGTCTATTTGGGAAGACCCAAATAAAGAGGTAGCTGGATCTTCGATGGCCCTACTGTAAAGGCTAGCCTGGGGAAACGGATACCCAGGTCTAGTACTCGGTCCTAGTAGCCAGACGGGCAAAAACCTTCGGGTTGGGAGTCTCGGAGATACCACCAACCAGGTCGCCAGAACAAACCGAAGAAAAAGAATATTAGGCAGACCTGATATACCAATGGACTAATCGTAGTCCTACACAGGCTATCTGAATTGGAAGTTTGGTAAACGGGTAGGGGAAAAGGCAGGGGTATACTAAAGTATCATGGTTATGCTGTGAAGTAGATGCTGGGGTCTAAGTGAACTCTACAAGGGCATAGCAGTTTAATGGTTAACCCTGACCACAAGTGTTGGTTCTGCCATAATGATACCTAGGTCAGCTGTAAAAATGGGTACAGAAGGCTCTAAGGGGTTTACCTTGAGGATAAATTAGTCCTAAGGTTGAGAACAATGATCTGGTACATCAGAAATGATCAGTGATGTTAACACAGGTTACAGGGTTTAAAATGGAACACCTAAGCAGAGGTGTTAGTTACGGCAATTGGTAGGAAACCTTCGGGTGGACTCCTTAAATAGGTAATATAGAAAAATTACACATGTAGCCAATTGTATGCTCTCCTGTAATGGTTCATTGAACCACAATACTGATAAGTGATTAATAAAAATCAAAAGACCAAAAAGGTCACCTTAATAAAAAAAAAAAAAAAAAAATTAATTTTCTAATTCTTATAACTGACCAGATCACTTTTTCTAAAAATTAAAATTTTTTTTAGGTTTTATAATTATTGTATAATACAATATATTGCATTTCTAGAGTGTGGCGACCTAGTGAAGTGGTCAGGTTGTCAACCCTCAAGTGGCAGGTCTAGAGTTCAAATCCTATAGATGACAAATTTTGGAAAATAAGATCTGTATTACAGTAACTGTTTCTGTCGATTGGTTGGATTTGTGTATCTGTAACCTTTGTTATACCATCTCGAATGGGAGCTCGGGGCATCTATGCAAAGTGTAACATTACACCTACATAGAGGAATGTTAATAACCGGTGTTGCATAAGACTTTGGAGCAAACCCACAATAAGACTACCAGGCATAGAAAGCAAAGGAACCAAAGAGTCAGAAACCCACTTGGAAATCTCGAGTAAAGAGGTAGCATGGACTTTCAACAGTACTACCGAACTATCAGAAGTCCCCAAAAAAAGGATTACTAGGACCTCAAATGGATCAGACGACAACATGTATAGAGGAGTACATACTAACCAGGCTACCAGGTTTGCTGGATGGGCCATCTGGATTGGTAGTTTGGGAAGTCTTGTGGGTCTTGTAGGTCCAGAAGTAGGGGTGTGGAAGTTAGGAAAGGAAGGTATCAGGGTCTCTGTGAACTTTACAAGGGTATAGCGGTTTAATAGTTAGCCCTAACTGCAAGTAATTGTCTAGGCCAGAGCGATACTGGGTTAGCTGTAAGTATGAGATATGGAAGGCTCTGATGGGCTTAGTATAAAGTTAAACATGACTTAGTGACCATGGTATATTTGCAGCAATGGCTGCAGTTGATAGAGTAGGGGTGGATACGGGAACTAGAGTGTTTAAATAGAGAACCCACAGGCGGGTTCTAGGTATGGCAACTAGTGTAGAACCTTCGGGCGGACTACTTAAAATAGACAATGACTAAAGTTGTACGAGTGGCTAGTTGTACACTCTTTCCATGATTGCCTCTGTAGCTGTTGTACACAATAGTTATATGCCAACTGATTATCAATAAACTCCTGGGTTGCAATTACTTACCTTAACATTAAAAAAAAATATATATATTGCATTTCTATTTTACTATATGAAGATCATCAACTTCATGCAACAAATATTTTTATTAAACCAAAAAATAAAATTTTATTAATATTAGAATTAATGTTAAGATTTGAGATAAGGCAAAAGCATGAGATATATCAAAATTTTACAAAAAATTTTTTTTATTAGAACTTCAAAAGTAATTTTATAGACAAAATCTTTATAAAATCCAATTTTTTTATATATAATTAAATTTTTTTTGTATCAATATACAAAAAAAAATTTTAATTAGTATCTTGGTTTTCATAACATGAAACTTTTGATCAGACCCGACCGACCGGCCAGCTTTTTTTTTTTAATTTTTCATATATAAATTTTATAAAATTTTTGAGATTTTTTTTTTTAAAAAAACCCACCCGGTTATTAAAACATATAAAAAAATTTTTTTACAAGCTTTTAAATTTTGGCCCGGTCGGGTTATTAATTAATTTTGTATGGCCTTATGTAAATTTTTTATGTATAAAATTTTTACCCGGCCTGCCGGGTCATTTTTTTTATCTCATGAAAATCAGAAAATCAACTTTGTATGGCCTAATCAATAATTAATTTTTTTTTCAATTCAAATGTATCATGTTGGTGTATCATGCTTAATGAGATGACCAATATTAATCTAATAATTCCATAAAGGTTAAATGAAAATAAAGAAAATAGACTTATACGTATCTATATACTCACAAACTTGAATAAAAACGTTAATTATTCAACCAAATCCTTACCAATAAAGGCTACGTATTTCATCGCCAAACGCCCATCACACAGCGTTATAATTAATATTTAATGTTTGCTAATGATTAGTAATCATTATTAAACATTACTTATCACGCCGCGTGACGGGGAGCTGCGTATCCTACAAAATCCAGCATTTGTTCATTATAAAAATTAATCTAATAAACCAATAAATGCTTGTTCACCACTTCTTTTATTCTAATTTCATGTTACATTTTGAGAAATACTTTTATTTAATTTTCTGTTTAAGTGATCGATTTTAAATTACTCTTATATATCGTCACCGCGCGACGTAGTTCGCTTAAAGCAAAAACGTAGATTCGTATTAAGGATCCAAGTGTACGTAGTAACATTATAAAAATAGTACCCAATTATCTTATGTAATCTATTGTCAATTGATTAAACTTGCAGTATATGTACGTACATATAAGCGAAAATATGATTTTTGCATTTATACTAAGCACAAGTTATTTATCAGTTATCTGTTATTATTTAAACTATTGAGTATTATTATTATTATTGTTGTTTTTTTAAAAAAAACTTAGGTTATTAGAGTTATTTGTGCAGTCATTTTAAAATATAATAAAGTTTCATTTTTATTACCTTTGTGGATTATAACCCTAGATCACAAGTAAAAAACGTGAATACATTAGATTTGAGAGAAAACAATTAACAAGCCTCTTAAACTATTTTTGAGAATAATAAATTATTTTACCTTAGGCCATTCAAACTTAATAAATCGGTTCTCATAACCCGGCCGGTCAAAATTTACAAAACTCTAAAAAAAATTTTCAAATATACTTACTATCTGGGTGAGTTTTTTTATGTTTTTTTATATATAAAATTTTTTGAAAATAAAATTAAAAGCAGGGTTGCCGGGTCACTTTTAAAAATTTTATGTTATAAGAACCAATTTATTAAGTTTGTATGGCCTTAAATAAAGTGCCATTGTTGGTTACATTTTAAAACACATTATATGTTTATTTTTATTCTATGTTGAAATCCTAAACGATGTCAAAATCACACTGGTAAAAATTCAACATGTCTATGGCACCATTCGACCTGTGGAATTTTTTAATTTTTACTAGTGCAAGACCAGGTATACTAAGTAAAAATGCTTAAAATGAATGTTTTTTTATTTGATAATTTTTTTTTTGTTGAGTTATAAAATTTGATATCTTTCGTTGTCAACCATTTTTATTAATACTATTAATACTCCAAACGTCAATTGCTTAAGCCATTTTATTTAGCCATTTTTTTAAAAAAGCGTATTCAGCATTTTTACTATCGCAATGGCTTTATTTTAAGTAGTATTCATAGTCTTAGCATTGAAGAAAGCTGTTGAATATATTCGGAAAAACTATAGTTGTGGTCAATTTATATCTATATCACAATAAGTGTGATCTTTGTGATATCAAACGTACGAGCGTACAAAAAGCAAAATAGCACTTTTGCTAACTTACAGTTGAGCCTCACATCGGACCGTCTTATCTGCAATAGTTCACTCACCCCTGTCCAAGCCTAATCCTTTCTATCGGTCTTTTACTGGAGCAAAAGTAAAGCTTGGAGATTTATTATAAAAGTTCACCCTTTTTACGATGGAAGACACTTTAACTGAACGATCAATCAGTGTCAAATTTCGCTCTTCTAATGGCGATGCTTTCGATATGTGCTTTGATCCTGGACAGTTGACTGTTCAACAACTAAAAGAGAGGCTTGTTACGCACATCTCTATACCTGCAGATAATATGCGTCTTGTTTACTCCGGAAGGGTGTTGAAGGATGAGGACATGGTAGACCTATACGGTGAGTAGGAGGTAAACGCCTCGACGTCTCAGGGTCAAAGATCAAGAACTGTGGTCAACGACTGGTTCTGCATGTGAACGATTATCGTTCTTGCGATCTGGGTGTTATCAATGTGATTATTGATCTAGAAACTTTTGGCTAGAGTGATAACTTATTTACAAAAAGTAGCTTCGAATTTTATCTTATTTCCTTTGTGTTCATCACTTCATAGGTGTAAAAGAAGGTCATACAATACATGTTGTTCGGGGAGCAGCTAACCGTGCAGCTGAACAAGCAGCAAATGTGACACCGACTACAACACCAACCCAAAGAAACGTTAATGGAACGGCGACAAATTCTTTCGGAATTAATCATTTTGGAACCAGTTTCGAACAAGATATGAGAAATATGATGAATTCACCTGTAATTAGGGTATTTATATAATATCTGTATAGCGTTTGTTTATTCCATTGGGCAGAATTGAAACTATTAACATTCCTTGGAATATGTTATGTTGATAGCAATTGCTCTCTAATCCAGAAATCGTGAGGTCTATGGTGATGCAAAATCCAACAATGCGACAAATGATTGAGCGAAACCCCGAAATTGGACACATAATTGTAAGTTTAAATTTTATATTTACCTGTCACCTTGCTTTATAGCTTTGTCATAACACTAAAATTTGCTTTTATTAGAATGATCCATCCTTTATCCGCCAGGTTCTTATAGTTAATATTTTTCTTGCTTCGTCAGTACATGTTTCTAGTCATATAAAACTGTTTGTTTATAGACAATGGATATGGCACGTAATCCTGAGTTAATGAGAGAGATGATGCGTAATAATGGTAAGTAATAAAGTCCTATTCATCTAGTTTTTACTCACGATTATGAAAATTGAAAAGTTAATAGTTTTATCCATTAGATCGAGCATTGGCGAATCTTGAAACTATACCAGGTGGCTTTAACCATTTACGGCGAATGTACCATACATTACAAGAACCACTTGAGTCCGCAGGCCGACATGTATGTTATTATTATTTTGTGTTTTTAATATCGAATGACTATTTATGAGACAAACCTAAATCAAACCTTGTGCCTGATAAAGAATGATCAATCATCAGAGGCAGCAAATCAACGCCTTGCTCAATTGTTAAATGTTGAAAGACCACCAGGTATATTTTATATATATGTGTACGTATATGTATATATTCCAATTTTAAATAAAAGTACCTTCCAACAGAGGGGCGAATAAATAATGTACCATTGCCGAACCCATGGACACTACGTAATAGTGCTACTATAGCGAATGCTAGTAATCCTTTTGGATGTAATTATCAAATTTAAGTGTATTATTTATTTCATCTGTTTTCCTATTAATATTCAAATTGATGTATATATTTATGTCTAGCACTTTCGGGAATACCTCCTTACAGCGTCATGGGTTTTCCACCTACTCAACTGGTATAAAATGAATTTGATTTTCCTGCTAGGATACTTTAAAAAATAATTAATATATGTAATTTGTATATTATTCATTTATAGTCTTTTCCACCGCCATCAACCGTTTCCCGAAATACATCGACTCCACAAGCACAAACTCAATCATCAACTACAGGGACACCAAATACAGGAACTTCAATGACTAGTTCATCATCAACTGGTTTATCTAACTCAGCAACGCCATCCTCAAACGTGCCAGCGCCAAATTTTATGCTTCCTACAAATGCACAGAATATTTCGATGGCTAATGATCCAGAACTTATTAGACGTTTTCAGCAACTTATGCAACGTTATATGACATCTCCACAACTTGTAACATCGCGTCAACAGATGCCCCAATCATATTATCCGTCTTTATTTGGATCACCTAATCCATTCTTCACGCAATCACCTGGGTAACTATATTATACGTAATTTTTTTTAATGCTTTAAAATTTTATTAATGTGGATTTTACAGTACAACGCCAGGATCTACTCAACCATCTGAACCCCCCGAAACACGCTTCAGAACGCAACTTCAGACGCTTGAAGAAATGGGATTCGTTGATCAAGCTGCAAATATCCGTGCTTTACTCGCTACTGGGGGCGATGTCAATTCTGCCATTGAATTTCTGTTGGCTCATCGAAGTTGATCTGCTGGAACTAAATCTTGAAATGTAGGGTCGCGACCCAAACCTTTTTTGAATTGACATTACTACATAGTTTAGGTTTGGAAATCAGGATTTCTACTTCATTTGGGATAATACCCCAAATTTAAATAGATGCCCATTCTCAGTCAATAGTGTAAAATTCAAAACCAATCAAATTTGTTAAACAAATGCTATAAATTATTAAAACTTCGTTATTTTTATTTCCAAATTAAGAATTTAAGAGATTTAGCGACTAAGTAGAATATATTGAATAAAGTGGTATGTTACAGTAGGTCTAATGATTATATCGAATATGTGCATAATAAATGAACGTAATGATAAAGACGAAAGTTTTTAACATCGCAAATAAAATTTGAATAGAAAATAAAAACTCAGTAAAAATTTATCCCTTATTATTGGCTAACTCTAATTGTTAATTGATAAATGACCAGAATCATGATGCATAAAAGCAATTAAATAAAAAAAAGTTTCTTAAACTTTTATAAAGATTCATATTTCATTCCAACTTCATTAGTATTTTAAGTTCAATCTTATCGAACATGAGAGATTCGATAGCATTTAAATACGTTACAAATCGAAGTTTTCGCTGGCAGGAACTCTCCTGATAGAATCGAAAAAATCGAAAATAATACATACCTTCGAAGCCCTACTGGTGGAACGCATTAGCTTTTAGTAACTACATAATTACTTAGCTAAAAATATTAACTGTATACTCGCTTATGGTCTAATCGCTTTAAGTCACCAGTAAAGACCAAATTAGCCGCTGCGGCAAATTTGATTAATTCTAAGGAAGAAAACTCGATCCAAGTTTAAGAAAGCTTCTTTTGCATATAGATTTAGATTATCCGGATCATGTAAAATTTGGGATTATGTAATACGTATAATTTCACTAATATTGATCTAGATTTGAACTGGCTGATACGTCACCTAGCTAAATTCGATCAACTTTTTTTATTTTTTTTAATACGCATCTAAGCGTGCTTTATTAGTTATAACATCAAATTAAAGTTATTATATTTACAAATATTGGTTGTTGTAATTTGTGTAATTATATAGAAGCTTTAAGGAACTCTAGCAGTTTTTTAGTTGCTTTTAATTTTACTATACGAAAGTTTGTGCAGTAAGTCGATTTTATATTTTAACTTTTGTTTAGTTATGTTAATTTACTTGGTTTGAGTGTATCAACATCAGATCTCATATATAGTGGTTATGTGTAACAAGATTGTTGGTTTTTTTTCTTTGAAGTTATAGATATTGGTGGTCTTAAAGATGTCATCTAAGGTAAAAAGGATGTTGTATGTTTGTAAAGATTTTAAAATTTTGTATACTGTATTTTAAATTACTTTACTTATCAAACATTTTAAGTTAAAATGTTTTAAAATTTGAGTACTGTAGGGGTAGTTGAGAAAATCTTCTGTTTTATATTAATTAATATGAATAAAATCAGTAATCAAGAAGAAGAGTTTTGTAAAATAAGCATCAAAAGATTTTTTTATTTAAAAAATATATATATATAATGAATTAACTTTTTAGTTTTTGTGAGTTCTTAACTTATATGGGTGTTCTTTATAGGTTTTACAGTTGTATAGAATTAATATATTTAATTTTGTTGTTTACTTAATAAAAAATCTTGGCTTTTATCAATTACTTCTTCTATAGTCTCAAAGTGCTCTTTAAACTATTACTGCAAAGTTGTGACTTTTTTTCAATTCTATTTCAATGTTCAACTATATGTATATAATATTTCAATAAGGTTTTTATAAAGTTTAATATATTAATTATATTATTTTTCTATACTTTAGTTTTTTAAAAAGTTTAATTTAAATGATTATTAGAAAAAGTTAATTATTTTATTATCTTAATTAGGTTCTAAATTTTATATAATACAATTTATAATTATATTGTTACAAAATAGATTATTAGTTTAATATAATATATTAAATTATTATTAATACATTTTACTCTTATTATAATAGAATAATCAGGTTGTAAAATTCTATTCATTATAATAAATATCTATTATAGTATTATATAATATTTTTAAATATTAAGAAAATTGATTTTAATACAGTAATTGAATTGTTGTCTTTCAAATAGTAGATTTAGGATTCAAATCTTATTAGTATTAGAATTTTGAAAAAATGATTATATTTTAACAACTTGAATAGATTATTTGAATTGTAATTTTACAATTCTGATTATATCAAAACTAAATTTTTTTTTTTTTTTTGAGTATTCTTGTTGCTTTTAGCAAACTAAGGGTGCAGTTGGCGCTCTTTATTAAAGTATTATTATATTAAAATAATTATGAACAATCTAGATATATTTTAGATATTTACAGATTAGTTTAGTGGTTTTAGGTCTATGACCTAGTGTGTTGTGTTTTAAAACACGTATTTCTTTCGAAATATAAGCTTTGATTAGTATACTAAGAGAGTTTAAAGGAGTATCAAAGCCTTCCTATTTTAAAGCAGTATATCGACACCAAATTTCATAAATTATATTAATATGTAGCCAGGTTATAGTAGTTAATGCTTGAGTGCAGTTAATATTTGAGGCCTGAAAAATGTTCTCCAGATTGGTTGGTATAGGTTTT